CAATAGAACGTTCCCATAAAAAAATTCCTCTTAAGAAATATTATATAACATTCTTAGAATATTAAAAGAATATTATTTTAATATTGAATAATATTCATACAATACTCTAGAAATATTACGCACTTATAGGGCGTTTCTTCGTCGAAGAATCACGTATGGCGAATTCGCGGAGATTTCGGTATCTACGTGGTGGGCAACACACACACACACACACACGCACACGGCGGCTCTGGAGCGAGCTGTAGCACGAGACGCGCGGCGATGCCGCAGTCATTTTTAATGATTCGTAATTTCATCGATCATCCATCATAGAAACATCACACGATCCTTTCCCAAACACATCCGACACGTCCGTGTCGGGGCAACCCCCTCGGCGCAAATCAGCCGCGTTTGCGGCTCGCAGGCCGCGGTTACAGATTGATCGACGTAGAAGGAAGAACGTTTCGGCCTCGTGGCGGCGGCCAGGAATCTGGAACGATCCCGGAGCGCGCGTCCGAGCATTATTCGACGCGCGCGCGTCCGTAATCGACGCGATACGCGGTGGGTATTAGCGCTTATTAATGATTAATTGACCGCCGCGTCAGCGGAGCACGCGCGCTGTGTGTGCGAAGGTGTTACGCGTTATACGCTTAAATCAAACGAGGGAGAGAGAGAGAGAGAGAGAGAAAGTGGGGAGAGAAGAAGAGGAAGAGGTCGAGCCGGGTCAGATCGCGCGCCGAATCGTTAGAAAGTCCGCGCGCTCCGGTCTCGGCCGCGCTGCGTAGTGTAACGTTCTCGGTTAGGGAAAGATCCATCCATCGGCTGGATCCCATCGGGCCGCCTCGTCCCGATTGCGAAGCGCAATGATGCTCCGATGCTCGCGCCGGCGTTGTTAGCGCGAACGAGCGAACGAACGAACGATGAAAGGGTTTCGCCGTACTTGGATCGCTTGGGACTCGCTTGTGCAACCGACAGAACCTCAGGAGGACTGCTCGCACCGACGTGCGGTCCAAGACAGCTATTTCTTGGTCGAAACTCATTTTTTTCAGTTTCACCTCACGAGCTGGTGCAAATGCGGTTTTATGATGTCCTATAGTCAACTGATAATCATAGATTATTACAATGATCGGAATAGATCATCTCTCTACGACACGACAATTGGGATTCTCATCGTTATTCTAAATATAAGATAAAACCCCTTTTCTGCTTTTGATTCTGATTCACTGTGACCTGCGGCTTGCTTTGCGCGACTGTCATCGCCGGAGTCGAATGACAGTTTGACCAGATTAGGAGATTAATAAACGAGGTTATATTTTTAATGTTATACCATACGTGCTTAATAAAGTGCGCACGTAGCGCGTATATGTAACATTTAAATACTTAAAATGTTTTTTATATTTTGTTAAATTATAGTGTGAAATGAAAAGCAGAGGAAAAGTCATTAGAAACATCAATGGTTCGGGACGACCAAGTAGAATTTGTTTATGTTTCCCGCTTAGAATCGCATGTTTGAAACAACATTCCTAACCAGAATCTGCGCGGGTTTTCCAACTAGAGTCCACCATTATTTTGGGAAATCGGACCGGATTGGATCTCAAGAAATGTTCTATGCAGTACGCATTCCGTATGTGCGAAATGCACGAGAAACGCGCGTGCCGATGTAAATGACGACCGTCGACGACGGGAGACTCCGGCGTGTACGGCGGAGAATATTGCGACGGGGCCGCTTTATGGACCCTAAGCGATTTATTCGGGTTTCGCCTGTACGCGTTTTAATGACTCGATATTGCGTATTCGCGTGATCACCGCGTTCAGCTGCAAAAGAGAAGAGCCCGTCGTCGTCGCTGCATTCGCATTAAATCGAATTTACAGCGAACAAACGCGTCCCCCCATAAATCGGCGGCGGTCGGAATTAATTACCGCGACCCCGTCGCGCTACAGAATCGATCTTGTAGCACGGAGGAGGGAACATTCGTCATGATACACGCGTATGAAGCCTTCGGCTTTTAGTATCGAGAGAGCCGGCCCCGCTCTCGCGGAATCGCGGCGTCTTCCACGACGCGCATCGTTCGCAAGCAGGCGAGCGAGCGAGCGAGCGACGTTTAGCGGGCTTCCTCTCGAACGTTGATCCTCGAGAAATGTAGCGGGGCCCCCGGAGGCCTGTCAGTTTCGATTATCCTCGGCTATCGTTAGGCCCCGATCGCGCCGAAGAGGAGCGGAGGAGCGAGCAGTAGTAGTCGCGCGCGCGGTCCTCGAAACGTCAGACTGTCAGGGCCGTAAATTTTTGCGCGGGCGCCCACCTCGCGTCATGCATATTCATGAATACTCGAATGTAATCGAACGCCGGCGAGAAGGAGCGAGAAAGAGAGAGAGAGAGAGAGAGAGAGGGAGGAAGGAGAGGAGGGAAGGAGACTACCAGGGTCCTCGAGTGCTTCGATCAGCCGTCGACTCGATTCAAGAATGACGAGGGCCAGCCACGAGTGTATACCGCAGGTAAGAGACTCAAGGACCGGCTCTTCCGCGGCGAACACCACCACCGTCGTGGCCGCGGAGAATACCGAAGCACCGAAGCGGCCTGTGCACTTTATATGCGAGGAGATACTCGCGAGAAGAGACCGAGACGACAACGACGTTCGCACGACACCGGATTCTTATCTACCTCTCTCTCTCTCTCTCTCTCACTCTCTCTCTCTCTCTCTCTCGCGCGCGCGGCAACCACGCAAGAAACGCACATCGCCGGCGCGATGACGAACTCCAGGCCTAGAGTGAGTGAGAGAGAGAGAGTCGTGATATCGTTCGGATATGGCGACGTGATCGAATTTAAGTTCGGATAACATTGATATCGATACCGGAGAAACCATGGGCCGGCCTTCGTTAAGGCGAAGTGTATCGCGACAGGCGGACGACATGTCAACCGGCGAGGAATTTACGAAGAGCCCATCATCGACGGTTTATTCTGCTTATTGTCGCGCTCGTTTGAAGAGAAACATTCGGAGGGATCACGAGAGAGAGAGAGAGAGAGAGAAAGGCCGCTCCGGAACGGCGCGTCTTAATTTTTCGTTGCGAAACTGTGGCTGCCCAAAGTGAAGTGAGAGGAAATTGCGACTCGTGACACGGATGGGGAATTTTTCAAGCGGTGGCGCGGAGTCATGGCTCTTGCTCTCTGTCAGGTGTGAGTGAGCGATGTGACAGCCGGAGGAATAACTTCTGTCACGAAGCCGGCGAGGAGTGGCGCGGATCTGCGCGCAGCGCTCGTGACACCGCCGATCCGCCGAGCGNATATATATATATATATATATATATATATATATATATATAATATATAATATATATATATATATATATATATATATATATATATATATAATGTTAATGTACATGTAACATATATAACATATTATACATAGTATACATTATATATATAATATATATGTCGTTAATATATATATGCACACATATTTACACACACATACACGCGCGGAAGGAAGATAAGCGTGTGTTGGGTTATCAGTGATTAATCAATTTGCACCCACCAGCCTCGATAATTACGGCTCCCCCTCCCTCCTCTCTCTCTCTCCCCGATTTATCGCGGATTATGAAACCGTTCATCTCGCGCGGGTGAGGACGGGTTGATAGAGGAGCACAGGAGGCGCGGTGGAAGAGGCGGCCCCCTCGCCGAGAAAGTGGACCGCGCCCCAGTTTAACGACGAGAGAGAGAGAGAGAGAGAGAGAGGTCGTTACCACTCTAGGCGAAATGGTGCGCCTCTAAGTGGACGGGGAAAACGAGCGGCGGAAGCGCTCAGATACCGAATACTGCGGACAGGATGAGCATGATCGCGGATAATTTTAGCGAACACTCGAAAAAGCTGCGCTCACGCGCTCGCTCGCTGGTTCGCTCACTCGAGCACAACCACGCCCGCAACTTCCCGGAGCCGGAGAGAATGTTAAATGGTCCATAAAAACTATCGAGTGGTTGCAAGCGGCGAGATCGCGTTCGCGGGCGCATTTCGCCTCGGGAAAGAAAGAGAGAGAGAGAGAGAGAGAGACGGTGGGGGGNGGGGGGGGGGGGAGAAAGTATAGGTGCCGCTAGAGAGGGGGTGGAGGGTCGACGTTGGCTCCGAGGGGTCATTATAGAATTCTCCTAGCTGGCGCGCCATCTCCCTCCCCTCCCCTCCCTCTCCCTCTTAACACTACCCGATGCCAAGACTGTCCGGATTGACTGATGTCAGGTCATTCGGAGCCTTTTCTACATCCAGGCCTCGTTGCCTCGATGACGTGTAGGAGTCGGCAAGATATTTATTGCGCGATGGGCGCGCTCGCTTCATTACGGGACGTTCGACTTTCAAAAGCAATTAAAAGTAGTACATGTTGTCCGTACGCGACTCACGCGCGACCGAGCCGGGTTAGCCGAGTTAGTAGTCGGCCTGCCTGTTTTAACGACTGAACGAATCGTCGTCGTATGATCGCGTCATGCATCACCACGTGTGTGTGTGTGTGTGTGTGTGTGTGTGTGTGTGTGTGTGTGTGTGTGTGTGTGAGAGAGAAAGAGAGAGAGAGTCTTTTTACGCGCGCGACCCCCTCTGCGGAATGGTTTCTCTCTTTCTCTCGGATGAAATGGTCGAGACAAGACTTGTAGGAGGAAATAGCGCCTCGTTCTGAGAACATTCAAAAGTCCGCTCGCTTTGCCGGAGCACGGGACGCGTTTCTCGTGTGGAAAACAGCATCGGACGTATATATTTCGATGACATGCATGATTAACCCTCTAATGGCAAGATGGATTTTCAACCATCCAAGGAAACGGGGTCGAATCCGACCCCGTACTCTGTTTTGTTCATTTTTCATGCAATCAATGCACAAAATGGGTAAGAGAAGTGAATAATAACACGAAACATTCCTTAAGCAGAGAAACAGTGTGTGCACGCTGTAAAGTAAACAAAATCATGGTGGGTCAATCTGACCCCGTTTTACTGCTAGAAGGTTAATAAAATCCGAAGGGGAAAGCTTACAATTGAGTCACTGACCTGTGCGTATTCGGCGCAGATATCGATCGACGAGACGTAGTTGACGACGTCCTCGATGGTCCAACGATTCACCGCCTGTCCGTCACCGCAGGGCATGTGGCCGCACAACGATGGACACCTGACGGGCGGTGGTGTGGTCGGTCGCGCAGCGGGTTTCGGCTTGGGAGACACGCTCTCGGATCTCCGCGTTTCCGTCCGCTGCCGCTTGCGAGGTGCGAAGCCGCCGGGGCTCGAGAGGTCCAACGGGCTTGTCACGCCCGCGTCTCTCTTGTTCGCGCCTGTGTTAACAAATAATGCAATGACATGCCTAATTATTCGTTTTATTCGTGGTTACTTACGCAGAAGAAAACAATTACCTGCTTCTCAGGTGTCTCGGATCGAGTAATATTTTTGTTGATTTAAGTATATTTCAATAACTTCTGGTAAACACTTGCTTGAATTTGAGCTAATATCTTAATTTGTAAATGAGCGTACTGAACGTAAGTGTAAAATGGTTCTAAATTTTGGAGAAAAGTAAATGTTATTTATTAGAATTATGTAACACTTCTTTTCCATTGAAGAAACCTAGTGGTTTTAAACTTAGATTTTCTTGTCAAGTAAATAAGTTTTTTATATAAATTCGAATATTCTCAATATTGTAAATTTCATATTTGTCGCAATTATTTTAGCATACAAGTAAATATATATTTTTACAAAGGAAATGTCATACTGTATAGTCAATTATATTTCTGCTTTTGGTAAATATTTGTCAAGGGATACTGGAATAATTATTTTATTCGGGCCAAGTAAATATTATTTGAACGGAAGCACTCTCTCCTTCGATGTAACGATATATACCGGAATATGTTGAAACGACGAACGTAAAATAGATCAGATCCCAAGCCGAAATTTTGACTTTACTTAGACCTGAAAATTCCACTTAACGCCTACTTTGATACTCTAAAGCCTACATCTTTCTTTTTGTTTGATTCTATTTAATGTCGGAAGTGGATCTTTCGACTCGGAATGCCTCGAGTTCTTCGCGATAGCTCTTAATTGTGAAAACTTTGACTAGTCGGGGATTTTTTTCAATGCCTCAATCAACCGCAAGTAGATTTTTTTTCCGGCGAAAATGACGCGAAAACAGCGATTGCTCTTAAATTTGACGCGACTGATAAAAAGAGAAAGCAGTGAGAAGAAAAACTGCAATATAGGAGTCTTACGGCACTCACCTTTGAGATATGTCTCCAATTCGGCGGCGTTCTGAGCGGCATTGGCGGTCCGTACCATGTGTAATAGGGCCTGGGTGGAAGACATATCGATCATAGGCGGGAATACGGGATTACCGAAGAGGCTGTCTTGCTTCTGCTCCTTCGGGTCTTTGTTCGAGAGTGGCGAGGTCGTTGGGACGGTCGGTGGTTGCGGAGCGCCTAGAGGCGCCATCAGACCGACGAACGGCGTCGCCGCGGTCTTGAAGGCCGGAAACCTCGGGTCCAAGCCCGGCGGATAGCCGTTTCTTGGCGTGCTAAAGTAACTGAAACGATCAACCGGACCCCCGACGATTAACTCTCTATTACGTGAGCGCCGAGGGACACCCACGCGTCTATGTCAATAAGTTCTACACGGAAAAAATATCGTTCTACTGCTAAAACAAAAACAATTACTCCGTTTACCTCCTTTCTTTTGAGTAATAGTTACCTTTAACAAAGAATATTTTCTAGGTAAAATATACTCATCAGTGTTAAAATGTACTCATCACAAATGAAAAAAAACTCATATCATAAGCTTGATCGAAGAAAGGTTAAATCCAATTAATTTGAATAAGCAACCGAAGTTTGTTTTAATTTAATATTCTTGATTGAAGTACTAAACTTATTAAGGCCTGGAATATATTAGGTTGGGGAAAAAGAAATCCATTATTTTTTCGGTAGATGGCTGTAGTGATCGATGTCTCGTAAAGTATCGATCAAACAATTTCAGATTTATGCTCGTTGGAAAGGTGACATTTCGCACTAAAAAAATTCTTTTGTTGTTTTTTGTTTGGTCCATTCAGTTGTGAGTTACAGGGTGTTAAAAATGGAAGTCAACAAAGAGAAAATTCGGTACATTTTACAGTTTTTCTTTGATAAAGGCGAAAATGCAAGCCAGGCGGCTGTAATTGTGAATGGTGTTTATGGTGCCGATACTGTAACAGCCAATTACGTGCAATTTTGGTTTCGTCGATTCCGTTCGGGTATTTTTGATGTTAAAGATGCACAGGTAGGCCCGTCGTCGGAAATGTCGATAAAATCACAGAAATAATCGACCGGCATGTTAGCAGTCGTAGCATCGCCCAGGAGCTAAAGATCGACCATAAAACAGTTTTAAACCATTTGCACAAAGCTAGATTCAAAAAGAAGCTCGATGTTTGGGTGCCACACCAATTAACACAAAGAAATATGATGGATCCATCTGCGAAGCCTTGGCCAAACGGAATGAAATCGACCCATTTCTTAAACGGATGGTGACTGGGGATGAGAAATGGGTCGACAACATTGTGCGAAAACGATCGTGGTCAAAGCGCGGTGAAGCAGCTCAAACGGTGGCCAAACCAACGGCCAGGAAGGTTCTGCTGTGCATTTGATGGTACTGGAAAGGAATCACTTATTATGAGTTGCTTCCATATGGCCAAACACTAAATTCGGATCTCTACTGTCAACAACTGAACCGTTTGAAGCTAGCGATTGACCAGAAACGGCCAGAATTGGCCAACAGAAGAGGTGTTGTGTTTCATCAGGACAGGCCACACATGTCTATAGTGACTCGCCAGAAACTCCGGGAGCTTGGTTGGGAAGTTTTGATGCATCCAACATATAGTCCGGCATCAAGCGATTACCATGTTTTTCTTACATTGCAAAACTTCCTTAGTGATAAGAAATTGGCATCAAGAGAAGATTGTGAAAATCGATTACTAGAGTTTTTCGCCAATAGAGACCAAGGCTCCTATGAGCGAGGCATTATGAAGCTACCTTTAAAATGGCAACAAATTATAAAACAAAACGGTGCATATTTGACCCAAATCGGACAATCCGAAACATGTTATATAAAGTCTTGAAGTTCACGTAAAAATAATGGATTTCTTTTTCCCCAACCTAATATTTCGAATAAATTTGATATCTATGGTGAATTTATGATATATTTGCGGATGTATAAATTTATGGAATATTTGAAACAAGTAACCTTTACTTGAATGTAGTATGTATTTTTCTATGTATACGATTTAATAAAAAAGAAAGTTGAAATTTATCATTATCATTGACACCAAACTCTATTCGTAGGGCTGAATAATTCATAATTAATATATCAATCTTACCTAATTAACCTCTTTCGCGTTAGAATGACGTTTTCGAGACGTTGCACTCTCGCGAACCGGATTATTTCGTAATAACAAAACTCTTAAAAAAGTTCCGAGACTGTGTAAAATATATGTAAATCGAGTTACAATGTATACTTTCATCTTCTCTCGGCGTGACTTAAGTAGATGCATACGTCCTACGAGTCAGCCAATTAAATGCCGACGCGAAGGAACAATATAGAGTTGTCTCATAGTTAATAATATGTCAGTCGAAAAACTCGATTTGATTTTTGTATCAGATGTCACTTCATTGCATTCAATGGAAACAAGCAAATCATTGCCGATGTCTTCGGTCCGTATTAATAGTCGTTACCTCGAGACCGTTAATTGGTGTGTGGGGAATTCTCTCAGCCATATACAACAAGAATAGTTGTTACTTGAAATTTGTCTTACGTGAGATAGTCGGATCTAAATTTAGAATTAAATCCGAATATTTTAGTTTACTATACATGTGACATCTCGAATCGAAATTTCAGTTCTACATTAAGTCTTTAGAAATCTTCTATTATGCTCCCTTTGATATTACAAATGAGAAGTTATTTTCGTTTTCTCCACTCGAAGACTTAGCGTAGAATTTAAAATTTTACCCCGGGAGTTCTAAATTCCCTTTATAGCGTCGAAGGAGCATTATTAGTGCTTCTTTGATTCTACAAATGGGAAATTATTCCCGTTTGCTTCATTGAAGACTTAACGTAGAACTAAGTAGACTTGATGCAGGATCGCAAAATTTCGACTCAGGATTGTGTTTGTAATCACGATTCAACTGGAAAGTTCCGATCTAACTATAAATCCCAATCTGAATATCTTACTTGAGACAAGTTCCAAGTGACGACTATTAATGCAGATCGAAACGACCAATAATACGAATCTATAATCCTTCGCCAGTTTTCGGCGTTCGTTTATCTCCACCGTAGCAAATGCCTGCTTTATCATCGAAGGAGGTGAAAAATTTAAGTGAACTTTTCGACTGGTGCAACATATAATAATAGCTCTAATTGGCTTCCGTTAATCCGGAATTACGATTACAAAATCAAATCGCACCGCGGTACGAAAGTGATCCCAAGTGGGCTACGTACTCGTTGGGGTTGGCGTTGTTGTACTTGGCGGCGAGGCTTCTCATGAAATCACTGTAGTTTCGCCCCATCATCTGCTCCATGTGCTTGAGATGATGGGGTGGCGGTGGGCCCTCGGGTCCACCCAAGGGCGTAGCATTTGGCGGCGTGCCGGGATGACTCGACGAAGAAGGCGTCACGCTCCTCGACGACGTCGAGTTATTGTCAGGCGTGAGTCGTTCCGTCTTAACCTGCAACAAATGCGACGGCGAGGTCGCCCTTTTGAGAAAAAAATAAATAAATTCTTGCACGAGCGCGCACGCGATAACGGGAGCAGAATGCGGGCCAATTAACCGGCAATAAAAGGAACGAGTATAAGCGGAAGTGTTAATTAGCGGGAGAGAGCGGCAGGTGCGACCGAAAGCACTCCGTATAGCTTCGTTTTACGTTGAAAAAAACGTGAAAAAAGCTGATAATGTATGCCTCTACCTGTGTAAATATATATTTTATATGACGTCAAGCGAGGAATAATTTAAATAAGGTTTAGTACCCGCCGCACTGTAAAAATCCTCTCGCTTCTACCACTCGTGTTTTTTCCCCCTAAGTATTTTCCTTCCGACGCAAAAACCCGAGAACATTCGCTGCTGCACGCACGCACGACGATATATGCACTTCGACGACATGCGCGGTTAATAAAATCCGAACTGTTAAGTGTTCTCTCGCGTAAAGCCGCCGTCGGCACGTCCGCAAGTCTGTTCGTCATTTCATCTTATCTGCGACGACAATAATCTTACTATCTTTACTACCGTCGCGCCTCACGTTCCGCATGAAGGAACGAAGGTCGCGCAGCCGGCAGCACGGAGAAGTGTCGCGTCTTTGAAAAAGTCTCGTCGATTTCGCGCGCTCTTCAGTCGGAAAGATTGGTCTATCACATTTAAGAATACGCAATTATATGTGCAGAAAAGGCGATAATTGATGGTCGATCGGAGGATAGATAATTAGCCGCTCTCCATGCGCGAGAGCGTGCGCGCGCGCGGTTGCGCGATAAATGCCGGCTACAAATCATGAAAAATGACGGGGACAATGTAACAATGGACAATGAGACGGCGGGAGACAATGAGACAAGGTCGTCGCGACGCGAATGATGGAGCTACGAGGGAAATTATTATTGCAAATCGGCTCACGCCGGGATGCGCGATAAGGAGACAAAACGTCCGTTTGTCCCATTGTGGTACCCACCACTCGAATAATCTCTCTCTCGCTTCTTAACGCTGACAAACGAACTTTATGCGGGAAAAATCTCGTCCCATCCATGGAGGAATCAAGAGACGGCACCACGCCTTTCGAACCGCCGGACGTAGCACCGGTCGGGCACAGCTCGGCGAGATACGTTTCGCTCACGGGGGAGATCCGCGCGGAACGGGGGGAATATATCTCTCGGTGCATTAATTCCCGGGAACAGATTGCATCTGAGATATGGTAATGAAGGCAACGCGTGGCGTAAGAGTCGACTCCTCTTCGGCGCGGCGAGAGAGAGAGAGCGCGCGCGCCGTGACACTAAGAAGAACGAGAGTCGATTGGCGTAGAATAGGGTCCCCGAGGAGCCGCTCTCGCACAGAGGCCACGGTAAATCTCTTTCTCGCCTGCGGACCTCTTCCTTGACAAGGAACCGCTCCGGGCTCACCGTGCGGACACGATCTCGTATATACACGTTTCGAGCGGGTTCCGGCGCTTCAACGACCGAGGGATTTTCGAGTCGACGCGGAAAACGCGATCGATCGTTCTCTTCCGGTGGAAGCCGCGGGCCGATCGCTCGGTTATGTTCTCATGAAAACACGACAGCGACGCAAATCGGTTCTATGAGAGTATCGAAGAAGAAACGAACAGGTCTTTCAGACTTGCCGTTTGTAAAGTTGCAGGCTTGTTAGTTGGATTGTGTCACAAAAAAATGGCGTTCGGCGAGTCAACTGAAACTATTAAGTGTGTAAATTATTATCATAAATGTGAAAAATAAATATAAATATAATTATAATTATAGTAGACCCACATTTTAAAACAACAGAGGATGCTCGAAAATATAATATATCGATAATATGATATCGACTTTATTCGTTCGAAACGCCAAGTTTCTATCGCGATGGGATTCGATTCAGTTTTCCGACTGATGGTGTGAGATCATCGGTAACAACAGAGATTATTTCGATAATTATATAGGAAAAAAATTAATCTTAGATCAAGATAAATATTCTCATATACAAGCAAGAATATTATAATATTCTTAGTCTTGAACTGAGTTCAAGTAATAATTGCATCAATACAAATTCAATCGAACGAAAACTAAAAATCTCCTAGGAAGATTATGATATTGTTGCTTATACATAAGAATATCTTTCTTGATTTAAGATTAATTTTTTCCGTGTAAAACTGTACACTCCTTCCAATGATAAATAAATATTGATTCTTGATAGCGCAAAAGTACCGAATCATCTTCCACATCTAACAATATTACACACATTCCGCCGGAAAATTCTTCGCGATGGGGGGCGCGCCGAACGTTCAGTGCTTTCGGGTTTCCCCGAATAATAATTCCAGGCGAGTAAGAATAACTAATCCCGCCATTCTCGTCGAACCGCCGGATTCGCCGCGACGGAATCTCGATACCGGAAAGCTAATAAGTCAGGACGAGGCCCGCCGTACACGGGCGATTAATTTCTCTCAAGTCGCGGCCGGTATCCCTCCGAGATCTACCTATTCATTCGACTTACCGGTCTATAAGCTACGGAGAAATTCCCGCACGTCACGGCCCGGCTATTCTTTCTAACGACGAACGTCAATTTTTTATCATCGCTGTGCCTAAGCAGCCACCGAAGGTTCCTCCTCCTCTCTTTTTCATCCTCCGCTTCTTTTTTCTTCCGCCTCAACGGTCAAGTCGTTTACAGAAGCGTCGAACGGGTCGACGCGCGCGGATGTCAACGGCGGAATGACACTGCGCTTTTCTCCACTGCGGTTGACATAGTTTGACCGCACACGCTCGGCTTTAAACGGGACTCCACGTGTAGACGGGAGGGGGGAGCTACCGCGAGTCAAGTCGCAGAAGCTCTCCTCTTCGTCGAGGATATCTCTCCCGGCTGGCGCGCACGTGTCCACCAAGTGGTGGACGAAAGCTCAAACACTCCGCTTCGCGGAAGAGAGCATCCTCTCACGGGAAATTTGTACGACAAATCTCGCGCGTCGCGCTCGGGAAAAGAATGACTAAAAATTCCATACGCAACGTACGTGCGCGCCCGTACGACGGTCACGTTACGTCAACACGCGAAGCGAGGCGTACGTTTGTCTACGCGCGTGGGGGAGCCTCGAATCGTCTAAGAATTTAAGCGCAAACACGCGAGCAACGACTCCTTCGCGCTGAAGCGCAGATGTTGATCGAGACAGCGAGCGTAAAGAATTCGCGACAGAGGAACGATGATATCGATTATGTTTATATATATTGTTTTCTCTCCCGCATTTCGAAATTTCCCGGGATTTTCCCAGATGCAGTGTAGATTCCGTTTGGAATAGCCCAAGTTCTCCCAAAATAGATTATCCCACTACGATACCAATTGGGAATTCCACATTGAAAGAACGAAAAAAAATAGTAAACACACATTTAAATTTATTGACATTTAGTGCGCTTATTACGAAATGTTGAAAGAACTGAACGTCAAATAAAAGAAAATTTGGTACAAGTATCTAGAAGCGACATCACTTATGAGTATTCCTGATATTTCTTCTTCCTTCCATTGAAAAAGCGAACTCTTACCTGAGTAGTGTCGAGACCATTCTGGTTTTGCCGCCTCCTACCCCTCGGTGGCCTCGGGGTTGCCGCACCGGACAGGTGGGCACCCTGAGGGCTCCCGCCCCTGGCGTCGATCGCTGTGTTCGCTGCCAGGGTGGACCCGTCGTTGTTTTCCGTGTGCGTTCCTAAATCCGCTGCCTCTCCACGGTCGCCGCCACGTGGTCCTGTGCCCGTGGACACGCTCTCGCCCGACACCTCACCTGCGAGCAAAAAAGCAAACGAAGACGTTAACCTCGGTTTGCAAAGAAATCTCAAAATCATCGTTCCTCATGTGTCCCACTCGACCCCGTCAAATTGTACACCTAAGAGCTTCAATTGGCTCCTTTTTAAAGAGACTGAGCTAAGAGACGATCGACGATCAAATTCGGGAGCATCTCTGACGAGGCGAGGTGTTCGCGTCTTCGGGAACGCGCGTCTCTTTCTCTCGCGCGAGAGCAAGAGAAGAGGCGGGTCCCTTCGAATTTCGTAAGGAGGGGACGGCGGGTAATGTCGCGCTAACGTCGTAAAGCTTCCTCCGATGTCGCGTCGTCGTCGTGTAAACGGTGTCTTTCGACACAGAGAATTTAGATGAAATACGCGAAGAGGGATAGCCGTAGGACGCGATTACGCACGGTGGCGGCGCTTAGCCGCACCGACACCGGAAGATTTACGTACAATAAATGGCCCCGGCCGCCGTGGGCCGGCGGCGCTATTATCTTCCACCTCGATCGGAGAGACGCGTATCTACGCAGGAGAGCGAGAGAGAAAGGAGTAACGGGGAAGAAAAAAAAGAACAGGGTGACGCGAGGCGGAGGGAGGAGGGAGGATCGGACCGCTCTCCCGGGAATCTCGAGAGGGGGTCAGTGGCCACCGCGTGGCTCTACCGAAAATATCCAATAAATTCTTGTCATCGTTAAGCGCCGGGAATTTTATGGAGGCAGTAACTCGTCCGCGACCGCCGAATTTGCCGGCCGATACGATCGGCCGCGGGTTAATGCAGCGGTTGACGCCGGTCGCAATGCTGCCGGCAACGGTGCTACGACGAACGCGAGAGATACGAGAGCTTCTTCTTCCTCCGCGTCACGTAGTGCTCGATGGTACTCGCGAGGTTACGCGAGGTTCTTATCGCGACTCCGCGTGTCGCGATCTCTCTTTTTCCGTCGATCCTCCCGCGACTCTCGTTGCCACGGACGATGTCGCGTTTATGCGGGCGACGATTTCTTTCTTTCTGACCGTGAATGACGTGTCACGAAACGTGTTTTAACTTAATTTGGACGGCCCAGATAAACTCGAGCGTGAAGCCCGTGGAGTCCAAAGTCGCAACACGCGCAACCGTATATATATATATATATATATAGAGAGAGAGAGAGAGAGAGAAAAAGATTTCTTTGGATTTAATTTTAGTTCCTTTAGTTGAGACAAATATGTCCTTTGGAATAGAGTAAACAAACGAATGTTTGATTCAATAAACAAGACTGTTTCTCAAATAGATATTTTTACGTTAAATAATACATTTCTTTTGCATTTTCATACAAACATTATAATAGTTGTGATAAATAATAATTTATTTGAAAAAAGTAACACTATGTTAGAGAAATATTCAAGAACTTCTTTGTTTCAGTGGACTGGAATATTTAACACACAATGAAATAAATTTTTTTATTGAAAACGAAAATATTGTTTCTTCTAAATAATACTGTTCTTTTTTATCAAACAACAATGTTTATCTTAGTGAAACATTTTCATTTGAAAAATAATATATTTGATGTTAAATTATTTTGTTTATATTAAACCTAAATCAAACAAACACATGTACTAAACTCAAAGAAATTTTTTTTCTGTTACAAAATAAAGATATAAAATAAATCATGTGTATAATGAAAAAATGATAATATCTAATTCTATCTTTTCATATGGATTCCATATATAATCTCATGTGTTATTTAATTGTAAATACTCTTAATATAAAGAATTTGAAAAAAAAATCGAATAAAATTACGAAAAAAAAAGGAGATATTTCGATGTTCTTCTTATACTGAGACACTCTGTATATATGAGTTTGCTTTCCAAAATATCACGAAAAATATATATAGGTTTGATTATTTTATAATAAACGTATAATGTTAATTTTGTTTTTGTTTAGTTCATTAAATTATCACTATTTCGGTTATTAAAACTAACCGTGACTCATATATAGATGACCTAGTAATTTAAGTGTCAAAGATTTAAAAAAATAAAACGAAACTCTATCATCAAAATAAAAAATAAGATATGTCAAAAGCGACATAAAATCGACGCAGGCGAAAGTTGTTTTTATTATACCTAAACTATAGATTTTACAAACAACACGTGTCCGCGATGGAAACTTCGGAACAATTAAAAACCAATCATGAGTCTTAAAATCTTGAACGCAGCCAAGAAGCCGAGGAAGAAAACGAAGCGTATCGAAATATCGGCTACGAAGACAACTAATATTTGCATCGAGCGCTCCGACAGTACACTCCGGATAGTACCCGGAGAATACGTGTCGTCGGATACACGATAACGCGGGCCGGGAATGTCAACTGTTCCCGCACCACCGCCCCCGCCGTAAACCCGTACGGAAGTGCGCGAAGTACGCGGACGCATTCTTTTTGTAATGCTCAAAGTTAGCACTTACGACCGGTGCTGGTTGGCGCAGCACGGATGCACTATCGCGCTACATCCTACGATCCGGTCTCGTCATACGAGAGAGAGAGAGAGAGCGGCTGACCCGCGCAGCGGCGCGGAATATACAGGCGAGAGTAGCGATCGTAAAAGCCACTTCTATGACACTCACCGAGTCGAATGTCTTCATTATTTCGAGTTAAAATATTTACAGCTGCCCATAAAAATTCCATTAGGGCGCTATTTGCCGACCGGGGAAACTGTACCCGCCCCTCTCCCCGTCACTCTACGGGACGACGCGCGAAGGTACGCACCGCGGAACGAACGGACGCGACGAGAGAGAAAGAGAGAGAAAGAGAGAAAGAGTGGAGATGACTCGCCATAAAAGACGTCCAAATAGTTATAAAATTGGAGAGTATGCGGACACCAAACATTGTGCGTAGGCACCGTTTGATGACGAACCGAACTGTTAATGAGGATGACGGCAACGGTATGTCGAGGCGTCGTAGCGCGCACGTCTGCGAGCGGACGAGCCGGGACTTTCGGAGGAAGGACTTAATTAATTTTAATGAATTTCAATAGCGTCGCCGCCGGGAGGCCCGATGATTTGTAGACTGCTAGAATTTACGGCAACCTATTAAACGGGAAATATTAAGTATACACGCGCCGATGAAAAGTCTCGCGGCCTCGCTTATGACCGGACCCGTTGAGAGAGATCCCGACGGGACGACAGGTGAGAGAGAGAGAGAGAGAGAGAAAAAAAAAGCAAGAGGAGAGACCAAGTCGATTATAGAAATTCCCCGTTGTGATAAGAGCGACGCACCGTTCCACACGGGGCACGTCGCCGCTCGCTCGAGCGAACGACGTTTATCTCCCGGCTGGAGATTTCCATTTCTCGGCGCGAGCTGTTTCGCATAACAGCACACATCCTCCTTTTCCCGCGCTCGTTTCTCACGTTTTTCGCCAACTTTTACGCCGGCGGTAGCGCGTCGGCGGCACGTACGACAAATATCGTAACGACACCGCGGGAACTTCCAAGGTAGTAAGGGAGCATTGTTTGAGGATCGTTCGTGCGCGCTGTTCTGTTGGCCGAGTTCGGGCCCGGCGATATTTGCATAGTCGCGGAAAAAAATGATCTGCAGCTATGCTCGCGGAATTCGCTAAAATCCGAGCCGAGAGGAAAGGTGCGCGGAAGAGAGGCGTCGCAGATGCACGTTTCTCACTCACTCGCTCATCCACTCTCTCGCTCCCTCTGCACGATCAGTTTCACCGCGTGAAATAAATAAATTACGTTACGGACAATTTAACAGAGCGATGCAACAAAACTCACTCGACCGCACGAGAGCTGTCGGGTCCACTTACGGGTGTCAATCGCGAATTCGAAAGACGCGAGAACAGCTCGGCTAACGTCGGATATGTCTCTTTCCTCCTCGGGTAATCCCCGCGGATAAACCGCGCGATAAGCAATCTTCGCTCTGGAAAAAAGTCCGCCGCGATTCTCGCCGCATGCGAACGAGGGAGGCAGCAGGTGAACAGAGCGCGGCTGGTTGACCGGCTATCCACGGCGAATACCGAGAAGAAGCGCGAGACCTGGACTGTGTGAAATATCGTAACGACGTGTTAAAACGAACTAACGTGCAGCGCACGTATCCGCGACAACGCCCGCTGCATGCGACCCGCAGCACGGAGCACTCGACGTCGCGCCGCCTCTTCATCGACGCGACGAAAGTGCGAGTCCGACCGAGGCGACTGAACGACGTCCCGTTTCGCAGACGATCGTGGAAATTGATGGAGCGTCCTCTCCTCGCACATTTGTCCCGACGCAACGCGGGGGGATAAGAAGCGGAAGCAGTTCAGTTAGGCCAATTGTTTGATAAAGAAAACGATAAAGAAATATTACTTTTAGAGGAAATATTGTTTCGTTTTAAATAAAAAAAACATTTATTTCGTTACACATTGCTCCATTGAAACAAAAAAGTTCCTTAATATTTTCTAACATGGGTTGTTACTTCTTTCAAAGAATTGATTACTTGTTACAACCATTGCGTAAGATGTTTGGATGAAAATATAAAAGAAATGTATGTTGTGACATTTGACGTAAAGATATTTATTATTTGAGAAACAGTATTGTTTATTGAGTCAAATATTCATTTGTTTGCTCTATTCCGAGAGATAAGTTAATTTCAATTGAAGAAATTTAATTAAATCCAAGTAAATCTTTTTCGCTTGGTCAGCTAATTACGGGATATCGAAAAATCTCGATTTGAAAAATCGGGACTTCTAATAAAAAAAAATAAATAAATTAGATAAACGTAGGTAAGTAGGTAAAATATTTATCCGTTAAGTGAAAAATTAAGGCAAATGGCGTCCTACTTAGATTTCTATCGCCTATCGAAACGCTTTAAATGAGAACCAAAAATCGGGACGATTGCACGGAAAAAAGAATTAGCTCCCATAACTAAAAACTAGCTCCCAGGCAAAAGTTAGCTGTCCATATAATACAACTGAGGTTTAGTTAATTTAGCTAATTATTCTCCGTACCTACACGGAGAAAGTATTGCGGCAGAAATTACCA